CCTTTTTTTTCTTTCTATTTTTTTCTAATCTCAATATATAGCGCCGCCCGGTCGGTGTCAGGGGCACAAAACATGTATGGGCGCATGCCTTTCCCGAAATACCTGCACACCGGGCAGCACTGTGCGATAAAAGTGCGATACAATACGATACAATACAAGACAATACAATACAAAACTCGGCGTGAGTAATGTAACTTGCTGCGATTCATTCCGCGTGGACGCCGCAGAATGGACGCTAAAGCCTGATTCACAAGGTGAAGTTCTGCTCGCTGTTTTCAGTCATGACGTCGCTCGGCCTGCAAAAGCCTGAACCGTAGCTGAGATGTCGACGTCGATACTTAAACTCGCAAGCAGAATCGGACCGTGTGAATCAGGCATAGCAAGTCGGTGATGGCCACTGGTAACAATTATCAACATCTCCTTATATCTACTGTTTACACCGAGCCTACTTACCGGAAGCAACCTTCAAACTTAAACGTCTTTTGAGGTCAGCACTTCTTATCGCAATTACCGGGTCAACGTTTGGTCTACGGGCCACTGTAGTTTGAACGAGCAGACGTCAAGCAGAAACGTCTGAGAGAGCAGACGACAGCTCGAACGATGAGGCGGCCGTTTGAGCGTGGTGACGCACTGAACGTAGTCCGCAGGTGGTCCGTGCAACTTGACGGCTTTCCCGCGTTTATGTTGGAACAAAACAAATAAATTTCACGACCATAAGTATGCGTGAATTCAATCCAAAGTGCTTTCCGCCCAAGCAATCGTGGTCCGGCGACGTCTGTTTTTCCTTTTTCACGGCCCCTGTTCACGTTTCTGCCTGCTCGGACGAACCGAGCAGGCAGAAAACGTATGACAATTGACCTTCAAACCTTTCCCGACTCTTTTGATAAAGCACCAGTCGCGGCGTTTTGACGAGAAGGCAGGTTTTTGTTCGGTTTCTTCCAAAGTAATGGAGGAATGCATGTGCCACATGGCGGCTTTCGCCCACAGCCCCAGACCGGAAGTGCGCCCGACGCGCCACCGCCGCCCCGTGACGTAACAGAGATGTGTTCGTGTATAGGCCAGAGGGGGTACACTCCTGGGTTATGACTACAAGACAGATTGCCACGCGTTTACTTTGCCAAGCGTCAAGACTCGGAAATACAGTACCCTTGACCGTGCATGAGCTGTTGACATCGCGAGCGCGATACGGGCTGCGCTTCTCGCTGGCCGACCTCGAAGCGAGGGACAGGGTGGTCACGGTGGCGTCATTTCGTTTCTGTAACCCGTTTAAAGGGACATCGTATATATGATCGCCAAGTTCTGTTTGTACATGACGTATGAGAGCCCAACTACTAGGAACACAGTTTGTGTCTTGAAATTCGGTTTCCTTCCGCCCGAAAACCGCCGATCGGGAACTGGCCTGTTTGAGTCGCACTCACTCTCTTCTCCGTGGTCACTTGCCGATTTCTATAGTTTAGTCACAAACACCCAAGATAATCAAAGTCGTCAGTCATCAAAGGCATACATTCAATATTAAAAATAGAAATATAACACGATAGCCATTTCATGTGGCTTCTAAACAAATGTAAATACGTTGATTGAAAAAAAAAATTGCACAGCCACGTGACTACCGGTAACCCTCTCCCCCTCTATGTTTCGTGTTGCTCCACACTCCAGTTTCGGTCTCGGTTTCGAGTAGCGTTTTGCTTTTACTTTATTAGAACTCTACGTGACGGTGTAACAAAATATTGATGGGGTAGTCTTCTGACATCACAATGAATCGTCTGGCAAAAATAAGAAATAAACTCTTTGGGGGGTTTTGGGTCCCTTTCAGCTGCGACTAGAAGTTCCGCCTTCAACGCGAGCTTTCTGCTCCTGCAGCCTGTGCGATCGCGCAGGCACGCGCAGCCAAAGCACCGCGGAAGTCAGCAAGTTCGCGCTGAAAGCGGAGCTTCTAGTATCAGCTTAAAGGTGAACGGTGTATAGTGTGACGGTGGCACAGGCGCGAATATGCTTTTTTTTCATGAATACTAACAGCCACATATTCATGCCTTAACATTAGCACCTACATGGCAGCGAAAAGCTGACGCCATCTGTCTGCGGACAAAACACTGAAAGGTGATGCGCGGCGCGGAGAGAGGAGGAAATGAGTGAAGGACAGGGGCGAGAGGGAGGCGACATCACGGGGTGGAAGCCAATGAGCGCGCGGGAAACCGGTGAACAGCGAAAGCAGCTTCTGGCAGCGGATACTGCTGCTAAGCGTGCAAGGCGGGAGAACGAGACAGAGGAGCAGAAGCAGCGCCTCGCTCGACTGTCAAAATGCGGAACAGAAAGCGCCGCAAGCCGACCTGGGTCTGTGTATGACAGAGGCTGGGGTAAAGCGGCTCGGCGACCGCGCTTCGCCAGAAAAAAAATAAACAATAAATAAATAAAAAAAAATTAAATGAAAATTTTTTTGTTGCATTCTTAAGGAATGTGTTAGCATGAACCTTGGGAAACGCCGCATACGTCCCCCTTTGGAAAACGTTAACCGCTCATTCACACTAAAAGCGGATTCGCGTTCGCGAAGCGGTTGCGAACGCGGTTGTATAAAGATCATAAAGATCCAGTGCAATTGCACGCGCACTCGATGACATCAAGTGCGCGTGCAAATGTACTAGATCTTTATACAACCGCGTTCGCAACCGCTTTGCAAACGCGGTTTCGCTTCCAGTGTGAATGAGCGGTAACACCGACGCCGTAGCGAAGCCAAAAGGAGGCAGCAAAAATAGAGGAAGCAAAAGAGAATTCCGAAATAGGAAAGTGAGGGGACGAAATAGGAAAGTGAGGGGCTTTAGGAAAGCGTTAGCGTTTCCCAAAGGGGCACGTGTGTGGTGTTTTCCAAAGACTCATGCTAACGCATTCACTAAGGATCCACCAATGGATCTTCAATTAATGTTTTGGGGGAACAGACAATTATCTTCCTCGGGAGCAGCTTCATAAGTGTCCATATTCCCCAGATAGTATTTATTTATTTATTTATTTTCTATACCCTCAAGACCGTGAGGCGTTAGAGAGGGGAGTGGGTAATACAATATTGTTGAATCACTTCGCGAAATGCGGCGGAATCCTTGATGGCTGCGATTTCACCGGGAAGGCCATTCCAGTCCACAATTGCGTCGGGGAGAAGGGCGTTTTGATGTGCTGTGGAAAAACATCGTGGCCGGGCTATTTTTTTAGGATGATCTAGTCTAGAGGACGAATAGGTTGGCGGAGTGAGAAGAGTCTGATGTAGTAGGGGGGAATAATAGTCTTTATGCAATAGGCACAGACCAAACATTTTCCGTCGGGTAGCAAGTAAGGAAAGAGAAAGGTCAGATTTCATTCGAGTAACGCTAGAAAAACGTGAGTAGTCAGATGCAATGAACCGGGCAGCACGGTTTTGGACAGCCTCAAGACTGTCTCTTAGCGAAGAAAGGTGAGGGTGCCAAATGGAGGATGCATACTCTAATTTCGATCGTACTAAGGAAATGTAAAGGAGTCGCTTTAGGTTACTTGGGACAGATCTGAAGTTGCGACGGAGGTAACCTAGGCTTCGGTTAGCAGCAGACACCACTGAATTGATATGGCTGTCCCAAGAGAGGTTTTTTGTTAGAAGAACACCAATATACTTGTACGTGTCAGTTTGTTGTAGAGGAACATCATTAAGAGTAAGGGTAGAGGAAGTTTGGAAGGTGGAACGAGAGAAGCGCATGTCTTTACATTTGTTAACGTTGAGGCACATTTGTGAATTACTACACCATTTATTAATAAAGTTAAGGTCATCTTGTAGCGCTGCAGAATCAGAGGGAGATGTTATTTTACGATAAACGACACAGTCATCTGCAAACAAACACATTGATGAGGACACCTGAAGTTGAAGGTTGTTGATGTAAATAAGGAAGAGTAGGGGACCAAGGACTGTTCCTTGGGGCACACCGGATGTTACAAGGGCCAAGGCAGATGAAGAGTCGTTAGCATAAACAAACTGGTTTCGTTGCGAGAGGAAAGATTTAATCCATGATAGCACGTTGGTGTCAAGGTTTAACGATGAAAGTTTTAGTAGCAGTTGGTTATAACTTATGTGGTTATGTAGTACTTTGTCAAAAGCTTTAGCAAAATCAAGAAATACAGCATCGGTTGGTAAACCGGAGTGGAGGTTAGAAAAAAGGTCATGGGTTAAGCAAAGAAGCTGTGTTTCACAAGAGAAGTTTCTACGGAAGCCGTGCTGTGCCTTGTTAAAAAAGGAAATGGAATCGAGGTGAATGGATAGATTCTTATGGATTATGTGCTCCAGTATTTTTGAAGGTACAGAAGTAAGAGAGATAGGCCTATAGTTTAAGGGAGATGATTTATTACCGCTCTTGTGGACCGGAATGACCTTTCCGATCCCCCAATCGTCAGGAACTGCCGCTGTATTCAAGGACTGCTGACCCCGGTACCAGCTCCCCCTTTACTCACGTACTCACCTTGCCCCTGCTCATTCACATTCTTCATTATGTAACACTCTAATCCATTTGACCCCTCTCCTGCACCCCACAGGTACTGGCGACCAATTATAATCTGGTGCTGTAAAGAAGTGAAGAAGAATCTTTTTCCAAATGTAATTTTCCCCTATGTGGATTCCATAAACCTAAGATAATTTGAACCCTAGGTACGACGGTTACCTGGTTCAGTAGAGTCTAATATTTTGGACACGAAAGGACAAAGTCGCATGTTTCATATTTGTTGTACCGTTGTGTGTATTTATTTTTTTATTTTACACGACAATGTAGATAAACTTTTTTTTTAAAAACTTTGACACTACCGAACGACTGAATATCCCCCTCGCGCTTTAAAGCCATGCGCATAAAATTACTTTATTTATGGGACGTGAACAAAACGTAGCCATTTCTTCAATTAATAATTAATCAATTAAACCCTACCCGTAAAAACACCACGCCCAGTTCCCAGCATTCGTGTTTAAGGATTGCGACGAACATAGGCTCATGCGTGGAAATATTTCACGCGGATCTCTTCCTAATTCCGATTGTGATATTCTTGGCGTTGAAAGCCAAAAATCCAGTGACAAATTCGAGGGGAACCTGAAAGAAAAAACAACAACATTGGGGCACATTGATCGATGAATGGATTGTTTTGGTTTTGCATCGGGTGTTATAACTTGCGCCAACATTTACACGCCTGCTCTTTAAATCCTGCTCTAAATTCCGTCCCTCATTAAATCGTCTACCCCTAGAGCTTCGTGTATTATCAAACATCTCTAGACTTTTTTTTCCCTATATCTTCTAACCTCTTCTTTGAGATTGTAATCCTTTTCTCCTCCACCCTTTCATGCTCGCCAACAGATCCCACAGTCCACGCCAAAATCCCCTACAGATAGATAGTGTAAACGACTTTATTTCTCCGTGCTCAATATTTTGCGGGTGGGTTTTCGGGAGCATATGGCGCGCACGAGATTTTACGTTTATTCGCATGATCAATTTCTCACGATATATTTGAAGTTTCGAAATTTGTGAAAATCGGGTAATTGTAAAAGTTAATTAGTTGACAGCGTCAAAAAACAAAACAAAAACAAATTAGTCGTTAGGTGTTTATAAGCAGTAGTTGAGTATGTCAGAACATGGCGACATTGTTACCCACTGTAGATAAGCAATTTAGCCAATGCAGTACGACTGCTAGCCTGGGGTCTTTAACGAGCACCACGCAGTAGTGATATACGACTGCTCGCCGGTACAATGCTCATCCAGATCGAAATGGGCAGGGGGTGGGATTGGACTTGTTGACAGCGTATAATTTTTGTTTTAACTTTGGAAACGTGGTAAGCAAGAAGAAGGCGAAGAACCGTGCTTACCTTAGTGTTGTTTGTACGAACGAATTCGACGCTGTGGACGGAGTGCAGGAGGGACAGCTTGACCGCCTCCAAGGCGAACCTCATGCCGATGCAGTTCCGTGGCCCCGCTCCAAAAGGAAGGTATGTGTACGGGCGAATGTTATCGATGTTCTCCTCGCTGAACCTTTTGGGGGAATGTCCAAAAAGACACAAGTCGACAAACTTGATCTACCTCCTTCTACCACATACTTAGAAATCATGTGGGTTGCCGCTTTATTGAGTTATACATACACGAATGGTCTCCTCATAAAGTGTTGAGGCATTGAAGGGGCGGTGCAACAATTTTAGCAATTAACGAATTTGCAGCTTGCAATTTATATGTTGTTTATCCTGGTACAAGTGATAAAAACGTGCCCTTTGCCCCCAAAATACTGCGATTCGGCTGCGTAATCGCAAAGGAAGAAAAACATTATATTTTTCGATCTGCAGCCGCGTGCCACACGCGGCTGCAACACCGCGGTCATCGTAACCGCGGTGTTGCGTCATAGTGGGTACACAATTCGCGGGGAGGAGCTCGCTAGGGGCGCTTCTGTTTATGCACTGCGGTTGCTGAAATATTCATAGCACATAGAAGCTTTGCATTGCACGGGATTACACCAGCAAAGGAAGTTGAAGTATCCTCATTCTGGGTCGCAGAAAAAGTCCACCAGGCGGCGTTACACGAACATCTCGCCGCGAATAAAACCTTTTGACACAATGAACTAGAATATAGGGGCAGTGGAAATAGCGTTGGCGGCGCCCCATCGGCCGTGTGAAGCCAAAAGTGTAGACTGCCGCGAGTGACGCTGTTGTCGAAATCCGGAGGGCATGGCTACTGTAACATGGGATATGGCGTCGTGTATACGTTCTCAGGTGGTTTCTGTACACGAAGCGCCTCACCTGGATGCCGGCTATTTTTCTACTACTCCTATTCCAGTTCACTCTACCCTTGAGGCTTTTGTGTTTGCAAGGAGCGTTTAATGTGTCACACACGAGGCGTACGCCTCGTGCAGCCCTTGAAAACAGATGGCGACAGTACACGGTAATACGCGGCCCTTAGAAGCAAATTATGATGGAGAACTGGCTCGTGGCACGTGTCCTGCGCGTTCCTACAACAATGATTGGCGGTATTTGTAAGAAACGCAAAGCGTGAATTTGATCAAGGGTCATTATTGCGCGAGCTATAGCCTGCGCGCTCCTGGCTTCGAGACATGCATTTCTAGCGCGAGTGCTCGTTCTGCGGAAGAACGCTTCAAAGCAGCGACCTCGAGCTCTCGTGCTTGTGACATTGCGAACGGAGCCAGCGACTCCCTCTCCGCTGCTTTCCTCCCCGTCGTCCCCGTGTCGAACCGTGTTATGTCTGCTTTTTTGTCCGTACGGTACAATGAATGGCAACACTTTTCAGTTAGTAGAGAGTTTTACGGAACCATTTTTGCGCATCCGATGCGGTACGCTAGAAAAAATACCGCAAGGAAGAAAACCCATTTTTATTCTTCATTTTCTAGGAGTCTAGGTAACAGATTGCTTCCCCCAATTCATTGACCGAAGTCCAAAAATCATCGCACCGCCCCTTTATTACGCTAACGAAAGAGGGACGCGGAAGACAGGGCTGACGACACATGCTTTCCACTTGCAACAAGTCGAAAGACTTTGTCGCCTGTATTGTCTACCGTGTTCCTCTTTCGTTATCGTAATTTAGATACCAACAAGCTCCACCATCCACACCCTTTTTAAGTTCTGCAAGAAACTGTCGGTATTTGCTGATGCTGTAGTGACACCTGATGCCGTGATGCTTTTAGCTTAATATAACGAGAGAAAATTCGCACAGACCTGTCGGGATCAAACTTTGATGGGTCGGGGAAATAGTCTGGGTCGTGATGCATCGCATAAACTGGTACGGCAATCACGCAGTCTTTTGGAATTTTTATTCCGGTGTCACCCAGACCATAGTCGCTTGGACCATATCGCTCCAACCTAAAAGTATAAGGACGAGTAAAGATATGTATATATATATAAAAAAACGACATGTATAGTGTTATATTTACAAACAGGCTACCATAATACATAAGTATGTAATGATATATAAGGATCGTCAAGGATCATCGGGGACTTTTATCCAAGAAGCACGAAAGTATGCCTGGTCTTCTAAGTAATCCCCGTGGACTTCCACGCACCGCTGCCATTGTTATACCAGCTCCTTGATTCCTTTTGCTCAGAGAAAACTAGGCAGCCTTACTGCAGTCAGACGGGCGTGTCCTTGCAGCCGATTTGTAACCGGCTGTCGCCATTTTTCTAATGTTGACACAATTGTAACCCACGGTTACAATGGCGCGTTATGTTAACCCCTTTTGTAGTCGTGCCTATCTCATGGTTTGCTCCCTAGCTGGGCTAGTAATCTTCTGAAGATTACAGCTGGTCTAACTTTCTTATTGACCAAACTATTTTATTATGCACCCTGACGCCGAGTTAACATAAGACAGGGGCGGATTTATCGGCCAAGCTTGAAGCGGGGCGGTGGGGCCGTGGAAATTTTGAAGGCTTAAAAGGGACAAAACTGCATGGCCTCCCCATTCTAACCCAATTTCCCTCTACCCCGTTCTTTCTGTCCGCCCCTGCGCCGTGACAGCTGGCACTGCTACACATTCGTCAATGGCGTCAATTCGGGCACGGGAAATATCCAAGAAGAATTACGTTAACGTCATCCGCAAGCTTCATCGTGCTACACTTCCTCAATCATCGCTTACGGACAAGAGTCCCCGCCAGCCTTGAACGACCCTTGTTTGTACGATGGACTAACATATGATGCTGAACAAGAAACGAAATGATTACCTTGGTCCGGGAGGAAACATTCTCAGGGATTCTGACACGACCCCGTGAAGGTACTTGAGTTTTGAGATGATATCCAAGCTTGGATCGGGCCCCTTTGCGTAACAATAATAATAAAAAAAAACGGTATAATTGTTTTTATTAATTATAATAACTTCTTTATTACAAAAACGACCGTCGTTAGATGACGATTGGACCGCTTCCGTCACTAAAAGTGCAAACAAATGTGTGCCATCATTACACGAGCAAGTTATAGTCCTAGCATATAAATTTGCATTTAGATGAAGACTTTTGACAGTGCAATATTTATCATCTGCTTAATTCAAACTCAAAGCCTATACACGATTACAAGCAGGATAACTGGCCGTCGCCATGTCTCTGCTCGTGCAAGCAAGCATGTACAAATTGCAAGCTTGCCGAAGCTACGTCCATTTGGCCGCTACACTTGATTGCAAGCATGGGGCACCAGCCGGACCACCATGCTTACCATTGACCCTTTCCGAAATTCAGTCTGGCCACTTTGATAACTATCATCATCGAAATGTACATCACCTGTACATGCTAATGGCGGCCTCTTGATGACTGGTGAAGGAAAAATTTGAAGACAGGCACCGATGCGAAGCCTGAAGATCCCAGACTTCATTTCGATCTATTGTTGTTCGATGTCACCGTGCCGAGACTTATAAATTTCTATGCGCTACGTATTTGACGGTGTCATGTAAATTCCTGGAATGCTAAGCTTCGGCACGCCCCAGACAACTCATGACACTCATCTAAGCGCCCTGTATAGGAGATTCACTGGAGGCCATATTTGAGGATGATGTTTAGAGCGCATGCCCAGAACGAGCTCACATTAATAGCCTGCTAAGACCGGCAACCTTGATGGTGCTAAAAGCACGCTCCAAAAGGACCGCGGAAGCTCGCCGTCAGCGCGCGCTGAGCAGCCGCGCACACAGATATGGCCGCCAGTGAATACTCCCTATAGAATGTATTCACTGGCGGCCATAGCTGTGTGCGCGACTGCTGAGCGCGTGCTAATGGTGAGCTTCCACAGTTCTTTTGCAACGTGCATTCTTCACCATCAATATTACAGGTCTTAGAAACCTATTAATGTGATCTCGTTCTGAGCATGCGCTCTAAACAGCCCCCACGAATAGGGCGTTCAGTGAATACTCCCTATAGACGGGTAGTCTCTTGACAATATTGAAACTGAAAGAAATAGAGGAAACACTGTATGGCTAAGGAAACCGCAATGTTCGTACGTCAGCCGTTGATGAATATGTACTAGGTTTTAACCGCCGTTAGCACACTGACATTTAGACTGACAGTTGAGCTACTAGACGGCAGTGAATTTGTGAAATGGCTTATTGTCTATAAAAAATAGACCTTTCCGAAATTCAGTCTGGCCACTTTAATCACTATCATCATCCGCGGAATAACATATGTGTCTCACCAATGGCTGCCTTCTGGTTATTGATGATGGAAGAACTTGAAGATGCTCCGAAGCGGATGATGTGAGGCCTATACATTCGGGACGCTAGTACAATCCGACACAGGAATTAAATACAAGAGCTGCGTAAGCTTTTATTTCTAACTCCGGGCCGGTCAGTCCGTTGGTGGCGCATAATTTATTTATTCAAGTACCTTAAAGGCCCATTGCTGGGCATCACATAAGGGGGACTGTTCAAGTAAAAACACAAAGGATACATAGAAGATAATGGTGTGATGGATGGATGGTAGAATCATTTCATGGACAACAGAGGCACTTCAGTCAATAGGAGAAATCACAAAAAACACAAGAACAAACAAAGTGACAGGGTCATGTCAGTGAAAATCTTGAATTAAGTACGGCACAAGAACGACAAATAGACATGCCTGAACGTTCACAAACATATTTTAATACGGGACAACAAACGAGGACGCCAGAACTGCAGAGTCCCTCCAAACTTTCCAGGATCACTGCCTGGATACGGCAAAAGCAAAACTCTATTCCACAAGATTTGACAAACGATCCCGGAACATCCCAGGATCGACGATGGAAACTATGTCCTCGGGCAGGGAATTCCAGGCTCTAATGGTTCTAGGTATGGCTGAATAGTTAAAGGAAAGTGTGGACCCCGATATTCAGCGAACGGACCGGCTGTTGTTTGTGTGAGAGGACGCCCTGTGAGACGGTTAGATAAAAGGGAGCTCCTGTACTCCCTGGCTGTAGAATAGTACGGGAACCAAGCACAAGAGGGAGATCTCACGACGAGAAGCCAATAGAGACAGACCAACATTGGTCTGTCTCTATCATTGGTCTATCGCAAGCTTAGCGCCCCGATTGGTGCCCCATGGGCACCAGCTCGGGAAGCGTGCGCGTGAACGTGGCCTGTACATACTTGCAATTGCACGTGCTTGCCCGCACGAACAGAGACATGGCGGCAGCCAGATGCCCCGCTTGCAATCGATCCCAGACAGACAGACAGAAAACGTTTAATGCCATAAAAGAAAAGTAAAAGAAAAAAAAAAGGGGGGGAGAAAAGAGGGAAGGGGGTATGAGGGAGCGCGCCGGTGATATCAAGATCTGGACGCTGGCACTAAGGAAAGGTAACTAAATCTAAATGAATATGTCCAGCTTGGCCTCATAGATAAAATCCAGGAGACCTTTCAAGACTCTTCGTCTGTCACTCTCGGAGCCTGGTGGATGTGTCCACCCCTCCATAGATGCGATGTCTGTTGGTCGATGTCTTGCCCTTATGTCTTTGTACTCTGGACACTCCCACACCAAGTGAAAAATGTCTGCCTTCACGCCCATATTGCACTTGGAGCAAGTTCCGGATCGTTTTCCTTGGCTCCAAGATGCGATGCGCGCTGGTGTTAGTGCGGTGTCCGTCCTCACTCGAGTCAGGAGAACTCTCGCCCGTCTTCCAAAACCCGTGCAAGGGAGCGGATCTGGGTTTTCGGGGAGCTTCTCTTCGAGTTTTGCTAGATAGTCTTCTCTGATCTTGGCCCGAACCTCGCCTGGATCATATTCTTGTGGTTCCCAGTTGGCCTGTGCCCGATCGCGAGCGTGGCCGTACCCGTGGTCATGTTGTGATGCAGGTATGTCGTCTGAACCGTGGGGAAGAATAAGCGACGCGCGGGCCAGGCGATGTACCTGTTCGTTGCCGGGTATGCCCGCGTGACCGGGAACCCATGCAATTCTTGTGGAGGTGCCTCTTGAAGCTAGTTGAGAAGCAAGTTTTTTTATCGAGCGGACTATCCGGCTTGGACTGTTCCTTATTCTACATTCCTTCACCGCCTCTTGCGAATCTGTAAATATCCGGAGATTCGTTGTTAGCGGGTCGGGGAGTGCGAGGACCGTCTCGAGGGCGAGGCGGATTGCTGTGAGTTCTCCTCCTTTGGTCGAGGCGCCTTCGGGAAGCTGCTTGGTAGCGCTGATTTGTAGGGCAGGGATGGCTGCAGCTGCCGTCTTCAGGGTGACGGGGCCGTCTAGCGATGCGGTATCCGTGTAGGCAGCCATGATGCAACTCGGATCCCATGCTTCTACCATCTTAGTGTGCGCCTTGGCTTTACGTGTTAGCTGCTTGGTGTCCCCCTTGCGTGCACTAGGCTTGTTGTCGGTGATCTCCGCGAGGTCTTCCCATGGTGGAAGTTGCTCGGGTAGTTCTGGAAGGTTCTCCGTGGGTCTGTGGAGAAGCTTCATAATCTCTCTGCCTGGTCCAGTAAGCTTGAGGCGCTCACTGTGGGCAACCGTGCGGGCCGTCACTACGTCATGGAGTTTGCTGATACCGGCTTGTTCCCGCAGTTTGCCGAGGGGGGTAAACTTAGGAAGGCCGGTAATTACACGCATTGCTTGATTGTTTAAGGTTTCTAGTTTCTGACACTGTCCCTTGTTGAGCCAATAGTGGCGGGCTCCGTAGACTACGCGCGACACTACGAGGGCTTTGACCATCCGTTTGGCTACGTTTTCAGTCGCGCCTCCTCTTGCGCTGCATATACGCCTGATTGCGTTGAGCGCGGAGTTGCAGTACTTGATTGTGTCTTGCAACCAGATGTCTCCCTTGCCCGTTTCTTCGATCGTAATCCCTAGGATCCTGACTGAAGGGAAGGGTTTGATTCTTTTACCCGCGAGTACGAGATTAAATCGTTCTGCAATCTTGGCATTTCTGTGTTTTCTTGGTGCCACCACGGTGTAGTGGGTCTTTTCTGCAGAGGCTTGCATTCCTACCCTGGCTAGGTGAGCGTCGACTGTGTCGAGGCCTGCTTGAAGTGTGTCTTGCTGCTTTGCAATGTCTTCTCCTTTCGTCCACATTGTGATGTCATCCGCATACACGGTAAAACTGAGTCCAGGTATTTTGGCGAGCTCGTGCGGCAGGGCTGCCATTGCGAGGTTAAATAGTGTTGGTGAGAGGACGGAACCCTGAGGGACCCCAACTCGGTTCATCTTCGGTTCACTGTCGTGCGTGCCGCAGCGGACCGAAAACGTCCTTCCTTCTAGAAAGCTCTTGATGAAGTTCAGCGGCCTTCCAACTATGCCAAATTGTCTGGCTTCGCTGATGATGGAGGTGTGGGGTACAGAGTCGAACGCTTTTTTGATGTCAACCGCCACGACTGTTCTTATCGCCGCGCGGTTGAGTCCAATATTTCTTATGACTTCTGCCGAGATGAGGGCGAGGCTTTCCTGTGTTCCGAGGCAGGATCGGAAACCAGTCTGGGAGGGATGGAAGGTGCCAGAGGATTCTAGGTGCCAGTCAATTCGTGCTAATACCATCCGCTCCATGACCTTACAGGTACATGAAGTTAGCGAGATGGGTCTGTAGTTACTGAGTGATCCCTTGTCTTTTCCGGGTTTTGGAATGGGAACGACAAGTGAATGCTTCCACTGCTCAGGGAGCTTTCCGGTGACCCAGATGTGGTTGACCCATTCGAGGAGCTGTTCTTTTGTGTTTTCTGGAAGGTTCTTAAGCATGGTCATGGTGATTTTATCCGGCCCGGGCGACGATCGGGATTTTCCTTTGTGTAGCGCCCACTCCAGTTCTCCCCTCGTAAACGGTCGGTCCATGCCGTCGTCCGGGGCCAAGATTTCTACGTCGTACAGAGAGGGGCAGTC